ATAATGTATGTTTAAGTACACATAGAATTATTCTGGAAGTAATTCTCTCAATTAGATCCATTAGTCACTCTATAACATTATAACTCGGCTACTAATTGAGGTAGAATGTTCAAGCACGGTGTAGTTGTTCATTCGGTGGTTAAATAACGCAACTGGAGTTTGTGATGTTTTGGAACACAATTCGTATTTTGATTGAGTAACGGTGTTAAAACCTGGTATATACTTTCATTATACCCATACCTTGATTAGGTTCGACAATGTGCATATTCTATTAACCTTAAAAAGAAGAGCACAAACATATTTTTCCCGGGGCGGGGCAAACAAATCGGCCTATTCAGCATCAGAAAATCAATTATTACCCCCAGTTAGGTCCAAAAGTAGTAAGTATGACATTATGTAATTTTTTTTAAATGACTCAGTTGAATATTGATTTGTAGGCCTCGTTTGATCGAATGTGTAAGAGACCCCGGCACACCGGCCCATTTTCCGGAAAAAGCCAATCTTGACCACGCCAAGGGGCGGATAATCGAGTCGTTGTTTATTATCGTAACAGCGGTAACAATGACAATCGAGGCTATCGTGAAATTGAAATGAAAACCTCTTGACTCAGAGTGAAGTAATTCGACTGAAATTTTCAGCATATTCCATTTACATTATCTATTTTATAACTATTATAGTGAGAACTGTCAGCTTTTGATCTAATCTTCTATAATACCGCTTTAATAAATAGAATATACTGAAAACTTAATAATAACCAAAGGTATGTGTAATTAATTTATTTTTATCTGTTTCAGGCTATAAGTTGTCTCAGAATTTGTACATGATGATTCTAATAACTGTTCTCGGTAAAAGCTTTTGCAGATTCTAACCACGCTCAATTTGTTGTCTCGGATTTTACTTATATCAATAAGAATATTACTCTTTTTAAAGCTGTTAATTAGAATAGTTACATTTTGTATCTTATTAATAAGAATATTACTCTTTTGTACCGTATTAATTAGAATAGTTACATTTTGTATCTTATTAATAAGAATATTACTCCTTTGTACCGTATTAATTAGAATAGTTACATTTTGTATCTTATTAATAAGAATATTACTCCTTTGTACCGTATTAATTAGAATAGTTACATTTTGTATCTTATTAATAAGAATATTACTCCTTTGTACCGTATTAATTAGAATAGTTACATTTTGTATCTTATTAACAAGAATATTACTCCTTTGTACCGTATTAATTAGAATAGTTACATTTTGTATCTTATTAACAAGAATATTACTCTTTTGTACGCTGTTAATTAGAATAGTATTATTCTTTTGAACGCTGTTAATTAATTGTTCCATTTTGCATCTTATTAATAAGATCAGTTCTCTTTTGTACCCTGTTAATTGAGAGAGAGAGAGAGAGAGAGAGATAGAGAGAGAGAGAGAGAGAGAGAGAGAGAGAGAGCGAAATGGGGTTTAACGTCCACTCGACACATACTAGGTCATTTCGGGACTAACATATGGTTTTAATTTTATTTCAATAATTTGCTTACGCGTAGGGGTCTTTAGCAGTGGGAGGAAACCGGAGGACCCGGAGAAAAACCACGAGGTTGGACAGGCGACCCTACTCCTTGTCACGTACAACCGGGGATTCGAAACCACGCCAGTCGACTCAATGATAGACTTTATGATACAGCTCGCACGCTAACCATTCAGCCATCCACCCCCCTACTCTGTTAATCAGAATAGTTCCTCCTCTTTGTGCCTTCTCAATAAGGATGGTTCTCTTTTGCACCCGTTTAATTAGAATACATGTAGTTCCATTTTGTGTCTTATTAATAAGAATAGCGCTCTTTTGTACCCGATTAATTAGAATAGTTTCATTTTCCATCTTATTAATAAGACTAATGAGACCAGTTCTCTTTTGTACCCGATTAATTAGAATAGTTTCTCTTTGTATCTTATTGATAAAAATAGTTCTCTTTTGTACCCACGGGATTGCCGAATGGTTAGCACGTTCGCGCTGTATCATACGACCTGTCTTTGAGTCAGCTGGCGTGGTTTCGAATCCTCGGTTGTACGTGACAAGGAGTAGGGTCGCCTGTCCATCCTCGTGTGTTTTCTCCGGGTCCTCCGGTTTCCTCCCACTGCTAAAGACCCGTATGCGCAAGCGAATTATTGAAATAAAATTAAACCATATGTTAGTCCCGAAATGACCTAGTTTGTGTCGAGTGGACGTAAAACCCATTCCTCTCTCCCTCTCTCTGTCTTTTGTACCCTTTTAATTAGAATAGTTTCTTTTCGTATCTTATTAATAAGAATAGTGCACATTTTACCTTATTGAACAGGCATTATGTAAGAGCTATATTTGCCTATTATTAATTGGACATCTATAAACATGACAGAGCCATAATCAACTCACGATGTCATCGGATGCCTTCGATTTTAAGTAGATTAGAACGGTTCGTTAATTTAATTTTTAATTTAAAAATGGAGAAGCGAGGCTAACACTCGAATGACCAGTACGGTAATTACGATCAATGCACACATCTTGTCAAAACTACAAGCACTGATAACTTGTCTCAAAATAAAGTAATTTAAATGAAATTTTTAATATATTCATTGTGCATTATCTATTTTTGAAATATTATAGCGAGTACGACCAAATCTTACATTATGCCCCTTTAATAAGACTTTTGTGGCTTATTATTAAGAATAATTCCCGTCTGTACCTCATTGATAAGAAGAGTTCCTTTTTGTACCATATTAATAAAACAGTGCTTACTAATAAGACCTTTAGTGCCCATTACTTGGGTTTCACGCCATAAATACTACTTTAAAATTACCATAATATGGCAGCCAAACCCCACGCTCCTTATTGCTAGATATCCTGGTAATAATCATAACTTCTTATTTTTAAACATTAATCGTCACTCGTTTGTTGTAAATTAAAAATAAAGACAAACAACTGTCTATGTTTAATTTCGCTTTATAATGTTTCGTTCCATTCCATTTCGCTTAATAATGTTTCGTTCCATTCCATTTCGCTTAATAATGTTTCGTTTCATTCCATTTCGCTTTATAATGTTTCGTTCCATTCCATTTCGCTTTATAATGTTTCGTTCCATTCCATTTCGCTTTATAATGTTTCGTTCCATTCTATATGGTTTTATGGCATATAGATCGACATGAAATGGCGGTTAACATCCTACGGTTCTGCACCGACCGGGCTAATGAATATAGGTATAAGCCATACACACTGAAAAAAAACTTGTGTTGAAAGAACACAAACTTGTGTTGTTTTCAACACAAGTAAGGTGTCTCTATTTAACAACACAAACTTGTGTTGAAACAACACAAAACTTGTGTTAAATGTTGAAACAACACAAAACTTGTGTTAAAATTTATTAAACAACACAAACTTGTGTTGAAATTGTTGAAACTTGTGTTGAACTTGTGTTGAAATTTCTGAAACTTGTGTGGTTTCATACAAACTTGTGTATAACCATCCACAAAAACTTGTGTTGTGTTTTTCCCCAATTTATATACAGTATTGCAACCTTTTTATGCAGGACCCATCTCTTTGCTCTGTTAGACCTATAAAGTTTGATAAAAGAAGGAAACAAAATTTGTTTTTGTTTTTGTAAGATTATTATTTATTCATAAAATCATAGGAAAAAGTAAATTAATACATCAAAACTAAATAGATATTTGAAATGTTAACAGAAAAACAGAGAATTCTAATACTAATTATATTGTGTTATATATAATGACCCCCCCCCCCCCACACACACACACACACCCCACTTTACCCATCACAAAATATAACATAGCTATTTAAATTGTTCTTAACCCCACACACTTTACCTATCACAAAATATAAAATAGCTATATAAATTGTTCTTTACCCCAAAACAAGAACTGAGAATATAAAGATATGTACACAGTATCCCTACCCCATACTCCAAAATATATAATTCAAATAATATCTAAATTTAATAACATCCAAACCAAGCACTAAGATTAATTATGCACTAAATTGAAACAATTTCAAAAACTGAAAAGTGCTACAAAATCACACTACAAGTGATTTGTGAGACATATAGAAATAACTAATATACACAGAAAACTAACAAAAGAAAAATGCACTATTTTGCAGGAGTAATAAAATGATGTAAAACCTTTTCCTCATTAAAAAAAACCCAAACAAAATGAATATTTTGTAAATAAAAGAAGCAAAGCATCAAGATTACAGGATTGAAATAAAAAAATATCATATGTACAAAAAATTTATATACAATCACAAGTCATAAGCCACAGTGGTTCAGTGAGTATAAGGTGTTGGCCGAGAAATTTCAACTGGATTTTCCGGCATAGTTCCCACTTGTCAGTAGTCTTGGATATGGCAAGGGATAATTGGGTACAAGCCCGGAATCGAAAGAGAGAGAGAGAGAGAAATGGGGTTTAACATCCACTTGACACAAACTAGGTCATTTCGGGATTAACATATGGTTTAATTTTATTTCAATAATTTGTTGCGCATAGGGGTCTTTAGCAGTGGGAGGAAACCGGAGGTCCCGGAGAAAACCCACAAGATTGGACAGGCGACCCTACTCCTTGTCACGTACAACCGGGGATTCGAAACCACGCCAGTTGACTCAATGACAGGCCGTATGATACCGCACGCACGTGCCTACCATTCGGCCATCCACCACCCCCTCCCCCATTCCCGGAATCGAAACCATCCCCACTGCGTTCACTTAGAAGAAGGCTTGACAATTGAATTATTTGACTCAATGACAGACTTCCTGATCAAATGTGTGCGTGTTAATCATTGCCCCCCCCCCCCCGGGTTCCCGTTAAAGAACCCTTGACAGTTGAAATATTTGATATAAGAGTAGGGTGTAGGGCAGAATCACTCTAAGAACACAGAAAAGTAGGATACTAAACCGTATTTCATTTCATAAGCAAGGGAAAGTCACCTTTATGTAGGTCAAGGTTTTTTGTAATTCTGGGTGTATTTGATCTACATTTGGTTTCTAGTAATGCCTATTAAATACTTTATGATTTCTGACCAAATTCTAAGTGATTTATATGCCACTTTACTTGCTATATTATACATACATTTCTGAAGAGAATTAAAATCTAATTGTGTTTTGGAAGAAAATTTAACATTAATAACAAAAAATAAATATTTAAAAATTGGGTCAAATGCATTCTTTCCCAGAAGTATAAAATAAATTGATGCTTGGGTTTTCTTGTTGTTATCATACAGCAAATACTCTTTCAATGGTGTTCCAGCCTAAAAAAATAAAAAGTAGGAGATAAGAATACTTTCTATGGTTCACAACGTTTAAATAAACAATTTATTTTGCCAAATCGAGACCGAGTCTCTATTTGGTTTCAACTTTGCGTAACGCTTATTGTGTCTTGTCCAGTTACAGACCCAGGCAGATTATTATGCTCAAATCAAATGAGTTAGAAGTCAGAAAAAAGTCTTGAGATTTGGGACTGAAGTCTCATAATAGGTCAACTATTCATCCTTTCATACATGTATTGTCTGCAAATCCAGATTCCCTACTACACCATGGCAGCACCTATTTACTTGGCAATGTCTAATTATTTTTGGACCCATTCTTATTTTATTTCCATTGACAACAAACTGGATATTACCCTTTAAAATCTACTGAAATCTATTTGAAAGTAAAATACTGTCCATCATTATTTTACTGCTATTTACTGTAAAAATACACATACATGTAGGGCCTATCGCAACTTGAAGGAAATCAATGGATGTGATTGGCAAAAATCAAGCATGCCAAGTACTTGAAACAGCAGAGTCCTAGGCATTGCCCCAAGAAGAATAACTAGATTACCAAGCAAGTGTATAGAAGTACTTCCTGATTAAAAATACAAATATATATGTTACTTACATTTTGCGTGTTTTCCCCTTGTCAGTGATACAGGACGGAAGACCTGACAAGGACAGCTGTCTAGTCGTTCGGATGGGACGAAAAACCGAGGTCCCGTGTACACATTGGCGTGCACGTAAAAGATTCCTTGGCAATTGGAATTCGATATAAGAGTAGGGTGTAGCGCCGCTGCCCGGGCAAAATTCCCTTCATAGCACACTGTATGGCGTATGCCCGTCTTCATTAGCCCAATTTATGAGCAAAACAGTAGGATGTTAAACCCCATTTCATTTCATTTTCAAAATTATAAAATAATTTGATGGCTTAATATTCAAAAGGTACAGTCCTTCATGTTTATAAAATTGTACGGGAGCCATAAAAAGCTCCAGATACCTTGAATATATGCAGTTTAAAAGTAAACAAAAATCTCAATATTTAGGAGAGAGAGAGAGAAATGGGGTTTAACGTCCATCCAACCCCCCCCCCCCACCAAGTGTATAGAACCAGTTCCTGATATAAAAAGCAAATATGCATGGTACTTACATAGTCTTTGTCTGATAAGCAAGATCTGTGAGAAAACGTCTCCACAATATCAATAGCCCTTTCCAACTTGATCTTCCGAGGTGGGTAACTGAAAAAAAAATGGCAATGTATTAGTTGGCTTAAATTGACTAGACAGTTTTGATTAATTAACAAAATGTTAATTTAATTACATTTGTTTTGTTTCATGTGTTGGTTTGCTTTGCCACAGATGAGACAGTGATATCTACATATAACTAAGATTCTGTCTCTGCTCATACATGACGTGTACAGTTTTACTATACTAAACTGAATTTTAGATTTCAAAATAGCATAACAATCTTTTCTATTAGAATTGAATAGTTACCCACCAAGAAAAAGCTGCTCTATCATCATTTTTTCCAGCCATTTCTTCTTCCATTTTTTTCTTTTATAATTTCTTTTGTTATTACATGATCTTTTTCTGGGTGATTTGCATATACATCCAATATTGAAACTGAAAAAATAAATACATGATATGTAATTTACGATTAAAGCTACCTTACCATATATACAAACTGTGTGGTATGAAATTGAAACTAATGTATCTATATGTATCAAAAGTTTTAATCCCAAGGAACTACCTAAGCCGTAAAAGTCTATCTTAATAATCCTTGTTTGTCACATGGTTTCACTGTCGCAGTAATTAGAAGACGGCCATGGTGACTGAGTAAATTAGGTGCTGGCACACTAGCATGGAGGCCACAGGTTATCTCTTGGGGTTGACCGAGAAAGCTCATCTTGATTTTGCAGAGTGGTTTCCCCTGAGATCCAATGTACACATTGGCGTACACATAAAAGTTCTCTTGGCAGTTTGAATTCGGATTGTCTGCGATATCACCTCGGTGGAAGCGGACGTAAAATACAACTAACTCATCATCATTTGAATTCGGTATGAGAGTAGGCCATAGTGTCGCTGCCCAGACAAACATTTTCACTTAGCACAATGCATTAGACCAGTCGGAGCTGACCAGTACGACGTTGTCTTTAAACCCCATTTCATTTCAGGTAATCTAGTATTTTTCTAGTAAGATTGAAGTCTCTCTACTTTCTTTATATGTAAATATCATATTTGAAATAAGTCATACTTTTATTCGATATGGGGTGGGGCTGGGGGGAATGGTCTAGTAGGTAATGCATGCGCATGAAATCACAGGGTCTGTCATTGTGTTAAGTGGCATGGTTTCAATTTCAAGGAGTAGAGTCGCCTGTCCAATCTCTTGAGTTTTTTCGCTGGGTCATTCGGTTTCCTCCGTTTTCTAAATACAAGTACCCCTACGCCAAGCGAATTATTCATATTAAATTGAAGCATACCTTCTCTAATCTCTGGGTCCTTTTGTTTCCTCCTTTTGCTAAATACCCATACCCGCAAGCGAATTATTCATATTAAATTTAACCTTACCTGTCCTTTTTCCCGAAACGACCTAGCGTCTGTAGGCTAAGTAGATATAAGGACCCATCTTGCAACAACTCTACATGTAGGTTCGTGCATAATTAATATTACAGTAACATACCAATTTTTAATACATGTAGAATGAGACAGTGTGCAGGGAAAGGGTGGAAACAGAAGTAGGCTAATCCTCGTCGTAGTTGATTACCGGTATGCATATAGGCACAGCATGGACTACTTGATTCTTCAAATACAAGTACATGTAAGGCCTTGTTTATGTCATTTCATTCTCTCTCTCTCCCTCTCTCTCTCTCTCTGTTGCATGTAAGTGCCATATAAATACTTTATTTTGGATTGTATGTTCACATACACTAATCATTGTAGGACATTGGTAAAAAAAAATAGAAAATATAAAAATTAATTGAAATTTTTACCTGTTTTTCTTCGATTCAATGCCAATGGAGTCCTTGGTAAATTCTCAATAATTATTGCTGGAAGGTGGAAAGAGTCACATATCATCACTGACTGGAAAAAATAATAAAACTATAGAGAAACTTCCACAGGCTGATTCTAGTTCCATTGTTTATTAACTGTGACTGAATCAGGCAAAAATGGGGCCTAATATTAAATATTACACAGACTCACAGAGGTTGAACAACGGATTACATGTCATTTGGGACTCACGTCATTTGGGACTCGCGTCATTTGGGACTCAAAAAAATATGACCACGACATTTGGGACTCGGGTATACGACGTTTGGGACTTTGGTATACGTCGTTTGGGACTCGGGTTAACGACGTTTGGGACTCGGATTAACGACGTTTGGGACTCGGGATAATTTATTAGAAATAGGCCAATTCAAAACAGGAAAGAAAATATTTATTAACATGAAACACGTGGTTAGTAAAAGGCTCAACCAAACGATAAAACATTAGTTGCACTTACGGTTCTTTGATAATCATCGTTTCTCATAAAAGTTTTATATTTATTTAAAACGAATAATATGCTGATGAATTTATTTGAAAATGACCTACACAAAAAACAAAATAAATATTTACACGACATGCAATCTTTTTTTACAAGCCCCTAGAAATTGTTAACGATAATCCGTGAGCTGCACGTTGACATGCTTGTCGTAGATGGCAATACCAATTGATAAATTAGTGCGTACAAGGCAAAGTTTTTTGTGTGGAAAATATAAGAAATGGCAACGAACAAAGCGGGATAATTAAAGCTGACAATCCCAATGTTATTACAGAATGTTCAAAGAAACCTAACGGTTCTTTGGTGGATGAATTGCAATGTTTGTTTTGTGTTCTGGGCGCCATTTTGAAAAAAACTGACATGACCTATATAATACAATCCAGCGATAGTGCAGTCAATTTCCTTTAAAAGGGAATCCGAATTTGTTAATTTTCTGCAATATCACTTCGGTGGTAGCGGACGTTAAATAAAGCTATTTCACGTACAAAGACCTACAATAAAATCCAGGTGAATTGGGAAAAATATTCATGTATTTTCTTGATGAAGAGTAGCTATTTCAATTTGTAAATGCCCAGTCATCTTAGACAAATAATAATTCCAACTTCAAATCAGTTGTATTTATTCAAATCATACTATGAATAATTGTATTTTTCCACTTGCATAATAATAAAAACTTGACTTTTATTATTTTATTTCTCAGGCCAAGAACATGGAAAATTGGTAATTGCCTTGTATCACTGCTAACTATATGGCACAGGGAGCCTTGGGCAGAAATGATAATAATATGGTTCCCAATATATGTTACTGTGTACAGACTGAACAAAAAATATATATACACTTGCTATTACATGTACATTATATCATTGGCAATAATAAGATCCAATTTTAGTTTTTAGTTACACACTGTTAACCACCAATAGATGAAAATAAATCATAAAATGTATTCAGCTCGACGTAAGACTTAAATAAATAGATACAGTTGGTTTAACTTGAATAGAAGTTTTAATTATCTATGCTGCATATATGCATATATCACCTTGCAGCTGAATCACATTACAAATATCTTTTTAGTTGATGTTCATATCGTCTTACGTATTTGTCAACATCAATGTGACCTTGTTCTATGTCACATTAGCCTATTCACACTTGTTACCACGAATTTACTCACCACACCCTCGCATAGTTATGAATTTATTGTTTCACTTGACTAAAGAAACATTTTGTAGGAATGTGTGCTTTTATAGATTGGACACTTGTTTGCAATATCATTGTCGGTGGAAACTGGCACTATACCTAAAGAATGACTGAACAAATAGCGGAGACGGGGTTTCAGCCGGCTGATTTAAATTATTTCTTTAAATACAGTAAAGCTTGAAATATGTCAGTTTTCCCTCTTTAGAATGTTTTTGTAAATAAGTTTTTATTGTAGTTTCCGTGGCGTATTCCCAATAAGCGTTAGAAACAAAGATATACACCCTTAATCCCGGTGCCGATAAATGTTGGGTTGTGTGGAACATGCTAACAAATCTCAGGTACGATATATGTTTGATTCTGGTTGAGAACAGCATGAGAGCAACATGATTGTTTTCATTGGAGATGAGACGCAAATATTCAAAGGGGTCAGACAAACTCTAAACCAACCGCGTTCCCTTCACTGAGCCCCTTCAAAGGAGGCCCTGTCTGTCTACCTGTGGAATAACATGCATTTGTATCTGTTAAATTTGTGTGGTAGATAGATTGATATTATTTATGTAACGTCTTACCCCAAACAAATTGCAAAAGAAACCACGAAGTTTCTGAGAGCGATATTTCGTAATTAGTGTGCTTTAATGGTGGGAGAATAAATAATTAAATTTTTCAAACACAAACTGGTCATATATAAAATAGCATTTTCTGACAAGACCAGCGATAATCTCGTAAGATATGACTTTTACTCTGTCTATTAAATGGTTTTCGACGTCTCTTCAAGGTCACCGTCTTGCGCCAAAGTCGTGAAACGCACCGTCGGGGGATTTGTTGGGGCCTGTCTCCCCCAGAAAAATTTCGAGAAATTTCAAGTCGGTCTTGCCTGGCCGTGAATACGGCAACCTGAAAGTGGTCGATTTTAATGTAGACATCTGAACTCCAATCACCGATGAAACAAATATGCCTGAAACAAATGTCGCTGTTAGTGCGACCCATTTGTGACAATTTCAAGGTCCCAAATAATAGTCCTTTTTTACTATTAATAGTAATTCAATCAGTAAGTGCTATTTACCTTATAATAGTCGTCTTGGCTTTTACCCGACATTACACAAAACACCAATGGTAACTGTCGGGTGGTCTCTCCAGTCTTAATGAAGGCGTGGATGGAAAACAGCTGAGACCATGGCTTGTTCACCACCCGAAAAGTTGCATCCATATACCAAGTTTTTGCGCGTGCGAGTAGTTGCATCTGTCTATCAGTACAAAAAATGTGATGGCGCCTTTCCCCAACTTTAACTCTTTTTTGATAAAATCTCGGTGCACTATGATCGATGAAATCTTCGTCAAGCTAAAACAAAAAATAAATAAAAAAGTACATTTAAGTACATGTTAATAAATAAATAAAATTGTACATTTAATTACATGTTAATAAATTCTTATATACATGGGTATTTAATTGCATGAGTACTTACGCTTGACGACACGTCAGTGGGATCTTTTGGTCGCAGAGTCTGTCGGGTTCTTTATAGCGACCTTACAAGTGCTGCAATGGGTGGTCTGCTATGAATGGGTTCTTCTGCAGAACCGACTCTGGATAAAACTCTCTCCGCTATTGAGGAACATGCCTTGGTAAAAACATTTCCTTTGGCTTCATGCTTTGCCTGTAATGACAAGATAAAACATATTAAACTACAAATATATTATTGGTTTATTTATATTTTATTTATTTATTTATATATTAAATTCATTTATTATTATAGAGTTAACTAGGTTAACTGGAGTTAATTATGCAGAATTAATATAACACAACATACACAGATGGCAATAGAATGAGACAGTGTTCAGGAAAAGGGCGGAAACGGAAGAAGACTACCTGTCCTACTTGATTCTAGGACATATATATATAACATGGACCTACTTGATTCGACCAATTTAATACAAGGAAATGAATGGCATAGTTTGTGTCAAGTGAATTTAGTGAACTTTAAACCCCATTTACTCGCCCTCTCTCTACAGAGATAAATACTTTTCGTGTTACATACAATAACAATTATTGGCCATTATTAAAAAAATATATTAAAAGGAAATGAAATTCTGTTACCTGTTTTTCTTTGTGTAGTACATGCTAACATCAATGACTGGAAAAAAAAATAACGAAACTGTAGAGAAACTTCTGAATCATTGAAAGTCTAATATTAGGCCTACACATTGATGACATTGATATAAAAAAAAGGCTGATTTGTTTGTTGTTGTTTTTTTCTTTTACAGAAATAAGATTACATTTCAACTAAACAACTAACACAAAAGTTATTATCTAGCTATAGTCCATGTCTGGATATACATTTCTTCTTTTGCCCGAACGTCTATAAAAATCAAAGATGGCGGCCAATAATGGCAACCGGGTATTACTATAAAATCAAGACAGATTCTTACCTGCTAGTCCTAGTCGGGGGTTTCTTGCAATTATAAGTATTTGAACAACTGTGTAGCGCCGATTAGCTAATAATAATTAAGCACGATTTCAGAAAAATTAAGACAGATTCATTAGATTGCTGAATTAGCGGAACACTTTTAGAACACATCAAAAAAAAATTCTTTGTGGCGCCATTATATAAATAGACTTCCGGTGCAGTCAGTGGCAGTAGTTCTAAATCTGACTGTTTTAAACGAAACGAATTATTATATACATAGAAGCAATATATACATGCTAAATTAAATACACGGTTTTATTTTTTGTAAAAATTTACAAACCTGCGGTCTGGTATTCTATGTGACCATTATAATTTTTTTAAAAATATCACGGCTAAAGCACCCTGTTGATGCTAACTTCACAACATCCTGAATGTCGCTGATATAATATCAAAGAAAGAATTTGTCGCAATGACTAAAGTATAGATACTTCTTCTTAGTTAGTTGTATTTTACGTCCGCTTCCACCGAAGTGATATCGCAGACAAAAAGTATAGATAACTTGAAGAACCATTATATCAATAAGTCGATTATGAGATACACGTGGATGATCAATTAAATTTGATTGGTTACTTTTCAGTTAACCAATACTGTCCAATTTCGATTGCATCAACCAATTACATTATTAAGAGTTTTACTCATTTTTTTTGTTCATTGTACATTGAATCAATTTTCGAAAACACCAGGGTGCTGAAAATCACATGTACACTATATATTCATTTGATCTATCAGTTTATTGGGTCAATAAAAAAGACAGACATTTTAACTATACAGACAACTTAACATCAATTAACATTCAAGTCTGTCTGGCAATTGTCTGATTAATTGGTACTCACACCCTTCCAGTGAAGAACAGCATGTGATTTTCGAGATGTGAATTAAGCCCTTTATTACTTTTCTTAAAACTTGACGACTCCCGAATTCAGACTTTGTATGGAGTTTTTTTTTAAAAAGAAAACAAATCTTGGAAGGTACACATTACTTGTGTTAATGATATGACTTTTACTCTGTCTATTAAATGGTTTTCGACGTCTCTTCAAGGTCACCGTCTTGCGCCAAAGTCGTGAAACGCACCGTCGGGGGATTTGTTGGGGCCTGTCTCCCCCAGAAAAATTTCGAGAAATTTCAAGTCGGTCTTGCCTGGCCGTGAATACGGCAACCTGAAAGTGGTCGATTTTAATGTAGACATCTGAACTCCAATCAACAAATCAATCAACCAGGCTGTTGTCGTTGCATTCACATGACACCAGACGTGTCACCGATGACACAAATATGCCTGAAACAAATGTCGCTGTTAGTGCGACCCATTTGTGACAATTTCAAGGTCCCAAATAATAGTCCTTTTTTACTATTAATAGTAATTCAATCAGTAAGTGCTATTTACCTTATAATAGTCGTCTTGGCTTTTACCCGACATTACACAAAACACCAATGGTAACTGTCGGGTGGTCTCTCCAGTCTTAATGAAGGCGTGGATGGAAAAATTAAGACAGATTCATTAGATTCCTGAATTAGCGGAACACTTTTAGAACACATCAAAAAAAAATTCTTTGTGGCGCCATTATATAAATAGACTTCCGGTGCAGTCAGTGGCAGTAGTTCTAAATCTGACTGTTTTAAACGAAACGAATTATTATATACATAGAAGCAATATATACATGCTAAATTAAATACACGGTTTTATTTTTTGTAAAAATTTACAAACCTGCGGTCTGGTATTCTATGTGACCATTAGAATTTTTTTAAAAATATCACGGCTAAAGCACCCTGTTGATGCTAACTTCACAACATCCTGAATGTCGCTGATATAATATCAAAGAAAGAATTTGTCGCAATGACTAAAGTATAGATACTTCTTCTTAGTTAGTTGTATTTTACGTCCGCTTCCACCGAAGTGATATCGCAGACAAAAAGTATAGATAACTTGAAGAACCATTATATCAATAAATCGATTATGAGATACACGTGGATGATCAATTAAATTTGATTGGTTACTTTTCAGTTAACCAATACTGTCCAATTTCGATTGCATCAACCAATTACATTATTAAGAGTTTTACTCATTTTTTTTGTTCATTGTACATTGAATCAATTTTCGAAAACACCAGGGTGCTGAAAATCACATGTACACTATATATTCATTTGATCTATCAGTTTATTGGGTCAATAAAAAAGACAGACATTTTAACTATACAGACAACTTAACATCAATTAACATTCAAGTCTGTCTGGCAATTGTCTGATTAATTGGTACTCACACCCTTCCAGTGAAGAACAGCATGTGATTTTCGAGATGTGAATTAAGCCCTTTATTACTTTTCTTAAAACTTGCAATTTCGATTGCATCAACCAATTACATTATTAAGAGTTTTACTCATTTTTTTTGTTCATTGTACATTGAATCAATTTTCGAAAACACCAGGGTGCTGAAAATCACATGTACACTATATATTCATTTGATCTATCAGTTTATTGGGTCAATAAAAAAGACAGACATTTTAACTATACAGACAACTTAACATCAATTAACATTCAAGTCTGTCTGGCAATTGTCTGATTAATTGGTACTCACACTCTTCCAGTGAAGAACAGCATGTGATTTTCGAGATGTGAATTAAGCCCTTTATTACTTTTCTTAAAACTTGACGACTCCCGAATTCAGACTTTGTATGGAGTTTTTTTTTTAAAAAGAAAACAAATCTTGGAAGGTACACATTACTTGTGTTAATGATATGAAAAAAACACAAGATTTTATAAATCGACACAAGTTTGTGTTAATGCAATGCAAAACAACACATAACTTGTGTAGATTAGTTTTAACACAAGTACTTGTGTTGAGATCCAACACAAGTGTTTTTTCAGTGCAGCATGTTACGGGGCACGCTACCGTGTACAGGTGGGGACCTCGGGTTTTCGTGCCTTCCGATTAGGCAAACACTTTTATTGTTATTCCCACGTGTGCTACCTCTAACAAGTGGGGGATCTTGATTCGGGCCCGAAGCATTCAAGTAGAGTGACCATCCATTGCCCTGACCGCTCGACTACCACGGCCCCATATTCGAAACGCACCCTTCTATTTTGGGGTAAAACGTGGCATTATAGACTACGATACATGTGTTTTAATACACGATGTTTAATATACACGACAGGAGGTTTGAGGTGTTCAATTGGTCAAATGCTTGCGCTGTGGGTCAGAAGATAGATGTCTTCAGTACGATGTGACAAGAGCGGAGGTCAGATGCCTAACCTCACAAGATCCTGCTAGGAATGTTCTTATCAGACTATGGCAGTAGGTGCATCTAACTATGGGGTTGCTGATAATTTAAAAGCATGGAAAACTGCATGCATGAGCCGTGGAGGAGTTATTTCCCTTATCTGAAAATTGATTATGGTGTATTAAAAAAAAGGTCAATAAAATAGCAGCACGTGGCAGTTGCAATACGATAAATGAATGAATGAAATGGGGTTTAACGTTCTACATGTCTGTACTAAGCAGGCCATAAGCCATACAGTGCGCCATGCGGGAAATTTTGCTTGGACAGCAAATTGAATTCTAACTGTCCATGATTCTTTTACGTATACCCGATTGATTTTTTATATCATGAGTTCATGCAGTGCTATCAACACACTGGAGCGTGGGCGTGGGCTCAGCCTGAAGGCATGGTCACGCTGGCATTTGTCCGGGGATCCCAAGAACATGGGGGCCTCAAGCTAATCTATATAATTATGTTGTGATTTGTTGTTCCCCAGAAGTTGTTTTGATTAATGTCTGCTGTACCAATACAATAAATATATTTTTAATTTTATTTACCATTTACATTTCTTTTCCTGTGAGTGGTTTGTAGGTAGGGGCTCCATTGTACTGCTTTGCCGGGAACAGATAATGCTGTTAAAACAGCCATGAGGGGCAGGCATACAATTGAGAAGTTGGGTCTTATACGCCATTTAAAGCTACATTATGGGAGATTCGATAACGAGTTGACAGTTCTCACTATAATAGTTAAAAACTAGATAATGTAAAGGCAATTTGCTGAAAATTTCATTCAAATTGACCACTATGAACCGAGAACTACGCGATTGAAATAAGATAATGTAAAGGCAATTTGCTGAAAATTTCATTTAAATTGATTCACTATGAACCGAGAACTAAGCGATTGAAATTTCCGCCTAGCCTCGATCATCATTACTAAAGTCAGTACGATAAACAGCATAGGCTCGATTATCCATTTAATCGTTAAATTGTGAAGGAAATTATGCAGTATATCGGCTCATAATCCACTAAAGATCGCAGGCTAACGATGCCATCTAGAGTTAATTATGGTCTGCATAGGTTAATTAATGTCTAATTAATAATTTAGATAACATTTCAGGCCTAACGAAAGACCTGCAATAGACAGATTTAGCTCTTGCATATTGTATGTTTAATTAGAGTAATTAAAAACGATAAACAATTTACAAAGTTTGTAATCAAATAGTATTTATAATAGTAGTTATTACATCAATCTTTTTAGTGGTTATATTAAATATAATCGACGGAATATAATTACTTAATTTAATATGGACAACTTGTCGTTATCACATACAATTCTATTAAAACGGGGTTGAATCATTTTGGAAACGGTTTTGAAACACCGTGGACACGGTTTTGAATCATTGTGGAAATAGTGTTGAAAAAGTTGCTCCGTTAACATCAAGTGACTGTGTTATATAAAAGGTATATACTCGAAGAGAATTAATCAAGAAAACATTGTTTAGAACGAAGAAAAGATAGAAATAATTATAGTAAGTATGGCCACCAAACACACATTCTGTGACAGACCAGAACCAGAACCTGAAGAAAAACAACAGAATTTCGATCATAATTATTACATAAACTTAGTGAATTAAAGGCTCTTGGGGGACTGGGGTTTTACGTCCACTCGACACAAACTAGGTCATTTCGGGACTAACATATGGTTGAATTTTATTTCAATAATTCGATTGTGCGTAGGGATCTTTAGCAGTGGGAAGAAACAGGGGGACCCGGAGAAAACCCATGAGGTTGTACAGGTGACCCTACTCCTTGCCACGAACTACGGGGGAATCGAAACCCCGCTATTTGACTCAATGACGGACCTTATGATAGGGCGCGCATGCGCTAAGCATTCGGCCATCCAACCGAATAGAAGCCGACATAAATGAATAATAAATATAAGGCTACATGCATACAAATGTCGAGGAAAAAAAACATTGAACAATTGAATTGTGCGCTTTATGACGTAATAATGTAACGCGGCTTGTTTAGCCACGCCCATAACGCCAATTCTGTTTTCTTTGGAGGACAGTGAGCGACACCTAGATGTTTTGAAAGGTAATTGTTATCAAATAACAACCGACGAAGCCCCCCGCTCACCCCAACACCCCTATGCGTGTCGTTGGATGGCCGAATGGTTAGCGCGTGCGCGCTCTATCATAAGGTCTGTCATTTGGTTTCCTCCCACTGATAAAGACCCCTACGTGCAAGCGAATTATTGATATAAAATTGAACCATATGTTAGTCCCGAAGTGACCTGGTTTGTGTCGAGTGGACGTTAAACCCATCTCTCTCTATCATTAGATTGAAAATAAAGATACCTCACCTTTTTCATTACACGCGTCATCTATCTTTGTACTAGTTTGGTCCAGGATAACTTTAATAGCAGACTTACTATCATCATCAAGAATTGAACACGTATCATGAACCGTCTTTAAACATCCAACGGCAGTTCTCAGATATCTTAAATATAATGAAAATGAAATGGAGTTTAACTTCCTACTGGTCTGCTAAGACTGTGCTAATGAAGAAGGGCAAATGCCATACAGTGTGCTATTGGGGAAAATTTTGCCTAGACAAAGGCTTTACTGTCTACTCTTAAATAAAAATATATCTTAAAGTTACAATTTCATATTTTTAAGTTATATTTTTAAAATGTATTAAAATAAAGCCCTAAAATATATGGTATCTATAAACAGTCCCACCTTGTTAAAGAATAATCCTATTAATCCTATAATTCACTATTGCCAGTTGAGAAATTGGCAAAAATATCATTTTCAACTTCAAATTCAAACGTTTGAAGATAGCTATTCCATGGTGGGGAATAGGAAAACAAGGGAGGTAATTGTGTTATTATTTCCAGTGTGAAGATTTTTAAGTGTGAGAAAGATAACCTATGATTGTATAATAGTGAGTTGACAACCTATTGAGCAAAAGACATAGAAATAATTATGTTTTGACTTTCTTAGAAAATATGAAATTGTAACTTTAAATAAAGACAGAAAAACAAAGATTTGACAAATTAATGGGTTTTTTTTCGGTGTCCAATATTTCATTTAGTATAACATAATGTACGATTAGCACGTTACCCTCATATGTTTTAAAATAATGGTACGCCTGTATTTTAAATGTATATAGAATATGGACTTGATGACCAAGTGGTAGAACACAGGGAGAAGAAATGAAATGGGGTTTAACGTCCTACTTTTCTTTCTTAGCAAACACCGGGGTCGAACTTTGGGGACTTCATAGTCACTGACCCAGTCCATAAATAACTGGCGAATCCATTGCAAATAATTTGCCTGATTGCTTCATTACCCCGATCGATGCAGAAAAGAATTTCATTTTATTTTCATGACATACAGCGTGATAACCACGCATAGGTTAGATATCCATTCATTTAATGGGCTAATCCCGATTATTTTTTGGAGAATAAAACTGCTTGATTTTGCGCGAAAAGGCATTAAAAACCTCTACCGGGTAACTAACTGAATATAAGTCATACGTTTTCAAACAACTTAAACAAACTATATAAACCCGCCAGTCTTCATCTGAAAATTGAGACTGGTGTCCCAATCTGTGTCTGGATAAAACCAGACTTTTATTTTATAAAAATAACAGGTAGGTGACATTGACCGTTCGTTATCAAGTATCAAGCACTCTTTTGACCTCTAAAGGAACGGTAATAGATTATCAGGTCACCTTACGCAAAAGGTTAAGCGGGTTTGGCGTTCACGTCCAAACGACTCAATATTTTGAGCTGAAATTTTCTAACAAGTTAAATACACCATCCCTCTATATTTTTGCGCTTAAATTTCATACGTACACGGACTTTAATTCTGAGACTGTTAAAATCGGGATGACCCCTTTAGATAAATACACATATTATATTACAGTATGTTACTTTATCCCCTTTAAACACGCCTTTTCGCGGAAAATATCCCTTTTGAACCAATGTTTTCGTGGAAAATAAAATTGTGCCAGTCATCTTTTCTCCGGCAAAAAATCTCGATTTTTATCTCCAGTGAACAAGCGTTTTCGAGGAAAATGATATTGTTTCAAGTAACCCGATTTTTATCTAATGTTTTCGTGGAAAATATAATTGTGTCAATCGTCTTGTCTTGATCGACAGAAAAACAAGTCTTTTATTGTATATCAAGTATATCAAAAGTGCCGCTCTCAAACAAGCCGTCCGGAACGGACCGCTCCGTTCTCTAGGTAGACGCGACCCTACTCCTTGTCACGTACAACCAGGAGATTCGAAACCACGCCAGTCGACCCACCCCCATCACATAGTCATGTGAATTACAATTCTACAGGCTATTGGGGGGGGGGGGGGGTGTGCCCGAATGGTTAGCACGTGGGCGCAGGCAGAGGTAAGTGTCAAATAAAAAATATAATATGATTTAAGTTTATTTATAAAGCAAATGTTAAATAGAGAATTAATAAAAAAAAATATAAAAACCAAGGGAATTCCCCAACTTTTTCTATTTTTCTCGCGTCGTCTTATCTCGTCACGGTCAATTATTTTTTATGAATAGTTCGTTTTGAACAGATATCATCTCACGGCCTCATAAAACAATTATCAGTGAGCTAAACATCGCATCTATAGCTGCGTTCACACTAGGGGTTTAATCTGAATTGAATTAGGAATAAAGTCTTATTCGAGACGTTGGTGTCACCCTCAATTCGATAAATGAATGACCTTCACTGCACATTCATTGTGACGTTTTCATTCTGTATTCAATCCGAATAAACTGTAATGTGACGCACCGCTTTTAAACCGGGAAAAAACCAATCCGAATTTTGGAGGTCGGTCTCCGGAATTGGAATTGAATGCGCATGTAGTGTAAACGCAGCTTGTTACACAGTCATCGTATCGGAATAAGGATAACTGATGTTTTTCTTAGTTTGAATCACATCTCAATTCTTTAAATCTTTGTTTCGGATCAACCCTAGCAAAAGATCTCTCTGTTAAAATTATTTTTGGAATATGTTGAGCCAGGTCTATCACATGTTAAATATTGGCTGGCTCCAACAATGTCCTTTAATGCCAATGCCTTCTTAAATCTCATATGACTTAATATTATAAAACACACAACTTTATGGATTTAACATTTTTTTTAGTTTATTTCATACACCCTTTCAGTACTCTTACATGTGTCGTTATTAAGCAATAGATATAATAAAATATTCATATTCTAATATTTGTAATATTAATACATCTTTCTAGAAATGAGACTTATATTATGAATGCGAAATGAGATTTGCTGTTACTAACAATAGAGACTAACATATGGTTTAATTTTTATTTCAATAATTCGCTTGCGCGTAGGAAGTCATTAGCAGTGGGAGGAAACCGGGGGACCCGGAGAAAAGGCACGAGGTTTGACAGGCAACCCTACTTATGGTCACGAACAACCGGGGATTAGAAACCACGCCAGTTGACTCAATGTTAGGCCTTATGATACAGCGCGCACGTGCTAACCATTCGCCCCCCCCCCTTACTACCAATAGAGAAAAGTATAATCAGTCTTTTGGTAAAATTAAAGGCAATTAAAAGGCAAATCCCGTTAATTTTTTGGAGAATAAAACTGCTTAATTTTTTGTTAAAACCCCTTACAATTCTCTACCTTAGGGGGTGGAACAAATAACTCAATATGTGTGATACTTTTTCAAACAATTTAAACACGTCAGTCTTCATCTGGAAATGGAGACCGGTGTTCAAAACTGTATTATGCGGTGTCTCCATAAAACCAGACTTTTATTTTATAAAAAAACTAACGTATAGGTAAAATTTGGCTACCGTTATCAAGAACAGCACATGGGTCATTCACTGTATACCTCTCACGGAACGGGAATCGATTATCAGGTCACCCAACAAAAAAATTAACCCGAAATCTTAAAAGGGTTACGTGTCCGGATAAGCAGTTTTGACGTTCACGTCAAAACGACTCAATATTTTGAGCTGGAATTTTGCGGCAAGGTAAATACACCATTCCTCTATATTTTGGCGCTTAAATTTCATAAGTACTCTGACATTTATTTCTGAGACAAGCTGCGAGTACGATTTGACTAGCTGCATGCGACTTAATTTGTTCGCTGGTACTCGTTTAGATTCGTTTAATTCTTTCAGATTTGGCATTTAATGTAATTTCATTTTTAAATTGTAACAACTACAGAATTCGACAGCCCGTCTTACAACTGGCGGATCATATAAAGATCACTTAACTCAAGACTTGTATAAATTGCACCCGCAACCCATATTCTTGATATAGTCAGGTACCATTACTATGATAACAAACGATATCTCGATTGTCAGCCGTTTTATCAGTAGTCTTAATTAGCGTACAATCGGATTAAAATACAGATCTATATTTCGTTTCGTTTATTTTATACTTTCGATGGCCTCTACTACATGAAGATCTGACCAGTTATAGTGAGAGGTAACGTCAGGGGTCATTCGAGCGACTTTTGACCCTATGACGTCAAACACTTGATTAACCAATTAGCGTTGATGTTTCTAGTAGGATACACGCAGCTCCGTGAATCGCACGCCAAGAACTCGCTGCAACAGAACGTTTCATAGGCTAATCCCTCACATCAACCAGAACGCGGGTTATATTACAACTTCCAGATCCTAGAGTACCAAAGACAAGTAAAAACGAAATTTTGAACTATAAAAAACGAAACGAAATATGATCTGTTTTTTTAACCAGATTGATTATCCTATAGCACAGATATGGAAGGCATTATTCAAATTTAGCACTTGTATAATGTCTATTTAAAGTTATTATATGGTAATGATGGCTGCTTGTGTGATCTACAAAAGTCAACATCACCATTGACAACCAGTTACTGCAAGTGTTAGGTATCAACTTATCCTGGTCATTCTAATAAATAAAGAAACTTACGGACAGGCGGTTACAGGATTTGATAAATCAACAGTGGACAATGATCTGACACATTTCATGGAATCGCAATCTGCTGTCACTGTAGTAACGATACCTGCAATTAGATATATTGTTTATGTTTGAGAATAATTAAAATATGCATAAATTTAATTTGCAGTTTAGACAGATGTAAAACAAGTAAATAAATAAAGAGAGAGAGAGAGAGAGAGAGAGAGAGAGTTTGACGTAACGTCCACTCAACACAAACTCGATCGATTCGGGACTAACATATGATTCAATGATTCGCTTGCCCGTAGGGTTCTTTAACTGCGGCAGGAAATCGTAGCACCCGGAGAAACCGACGCGGTTGGATAGGCGAGCCTACTCCCTGTCACGTATAATTGGGGAATCAAAACCAAACCACTTGACTCATTGTCTGACCTTATGATCTAATGCGCACGCGTTATAACATTCGACAACCCAAACCCCTAATAAACAAACAACATACCAAGGACAACCAATGTGAAAATAATGGATTTCATTTTTATCTGGTGATGTCAGGTCTGCAATTTTTTTATAATTTCACCTCAATTTCTTGAAATAAATGATATCTGAAATAAAAACTGTATTTTCGAATCGTAGATCAATTTAAAGATACATTATGCAAAAGTTAAATCTGCCTATTGCAAGTCTTTTTTAGACCTGAAATGTTACATAAACTATTAATTCGACTTTTATTTACATGAAAAGACCATAATCAACTTTCGATGCCATCTTATGTGTCCGATTTGCATTGGATTTGAATCCGATCTGTTGTACATCGCCCATTGATGATTAACCGCAAAAATGGATAATCGAGATTTGTTAATTATTGTGACAGGAGTAACAATGAGAATCGAGGCTACACCGATTTAAAAATAAGGTTTTCTCGGCTTAGAGTGAAAAAATTTGACTCATATTTTCAGCATATTCCCTTTACATTATCTTTTTTTAACTACTATTGTGAGAACTGTCAGCTCTTTATCTAATCTTCCATAATGTATCTTTAAATAAAGGTATGACTAATTATTAAGATGGCATTTTATAAGGGCAACTCGTCTTGAATGACGTAGTATAAGACTAAAATGCCCCAAATTGGGTGGACCGTATTTCAGGAACCGTTAGTAGGAAGAACCTAACATTTGGAATATCAGATTTTTCAGTTTTCAGTCCTAATTAGCATATAAACCAAATTTAAGCAAAATCGAACGAGGTAAGGTTTAATTCATTGGGTGATAGTTGAAATGGAATGACCCAGAACACAGATATCGAGATGGCAGCATGGGACAAGAATGGGTTTAACATATTTTGGAGACATTATTACAGACTATAATTCCACCACGTTTCAGATATTGAAGGCCGATTTTCTGGGAATCTAGTGAAGACTGATGCGTTTTTATGTTTCGTACGTAATACTACTGGCAATCTCTAGATAGGCCAAACAAAATTTGGGTCTCTTTCTATTACTTTGTAGCTCCTGGCCGAGCACTGCAAAATCCAGAAAATATACAATTACACCTATTTTTCTTCATGACTCACATCCGATTGCAGATTCTTAATCTACACAAACAGTTCTTTAATTTTGACTACCAAATTTGAGCCCTATATCCACACTAGTAAGGTAAAAACAAAGCTTGAGTAAATTATTGATACATATTTTGTTTCGAATACTTATTGGTAACTCATAAAACTCAAATGCCCCTATCTCAACCAATTTTCAAGCTACAGACCACAAATTTTGCAGTTTCTAGTATTTACAGGTAAAATAACATATTTTTTTCCAGATTCTTTCGAGGGGGGCGATTTTCCAACTTTCTGAAAACTGACCCACTTGACATGGAATGACCCTTTGATAATATCAATATATGTAATAATATCAATATATTTGATAATGTCAATATATTCAAAAAATTCAATATACTAAATAATAACAATATATGTAATAATAACAATATATGTAATAATAACAATATATGTAATAATAACAATATATTAAATAATATCATCAATATATTAAATAATATCATCAATATATTAAATAATAATATATGAAATAATATCATCAATATATTAAAAAATAATAATATATGACATAATATCATCAATATATTATCAATATATATAAAATATATTATCAATATATATAAAATATATTATCAATATATATATAATAATATCAATATTCTTAATATATCACATTTTAAAATAAAGATACTTACCAAAGTATTTAACACACAATAAATTGTCACACATTCGTTTAAGGATGGGTTATTTTTTACAAGTCAATATTGCGGAGAATTATGCGAAGAAATGCGAGATTAGTATATTGTAAAAGTGGTTTTGTTTTTTTGTTTTTATCTGAATATATAAGGATCCAGGAAAACCCTTAACGAAAGACGCCCATTTCTCGATACGAAGTCTGATTGGCCAGATCGAGACTCGCTTGGTTAAATATGTCAGGTAATCTGTGCTTAAACGTTCTATATGTTCTTTCTGTGATGTTATTTTAGATTTGACTGTTGATAATACATTTTTAGACTGTGTCTGTTTTTTCTCATATTCTGTAATATCATCTTGGTATTTTCTAGAAGTCTCTTCAAGTTTGCTTTTTTCCTTATTAAATTCATTAATCTGTTCTTTCAGGGTGTTAATTTCTTGCATCTGTTCACCAATTTTAGTTTTAAAATCAGCTTTATAATCTTTAAAATATACATTCTTTAAAATACATTAAAATAAAATATCTAAAATAAAATATTTGTGCATGTTTCGTCAATATGCACTGTTACAATATAAGATAGGAATCGTCTTTTCAAAATACCAACACGTGTATGGTATTTAATTACATGATATCTTACAAGCGAGATACACATAGTTAAAGGTACACAGGGCCTCGTTTTGTTTCGTCCCCTCCCAACGACTTTACGTTGTCTCTTGCCAGGGCCCCTGTCCTGCACCAAGGGAAAATATGATAATCTATTGGTTTTTATACGCCCATGTGGGCGTATATGATCGTCGCTGCCGTCCTTCCATCCGTCCGTCCGTGTATCAGTCCATTCGCCCATTCACCTAAAAAACAGGCTTATACTAAATATCTCGGTTCCTTTCGATATTGGCATGTATCGGACCGTAACTTCATGGATTATGGACCTTGATGTTTTTAGCACGTGGAAAACCCTAGAGGTCACAATATGTATTTGATTTTAAAAAGCGTTCAACTATATCACTGTTTCAACTAAATTACGACTGAGTTTGAATTTCGTAACAAACTGTAAACTCCTCAATTATAGATCTTGATTTTTTTTTTTAAAAGAAAAAAAAAGAAAAGAAAAACACAAAAAAACCCACAACAACAACACATTTTTAGCTTATGAACCTTCTAGAAGTCACAATTTTTATCCCATTTTGAGATAAAACATATGTTTAGGTCCCTAACTTCCTGGATTATAGCCCCTGATTGTACGACAAATCGCGTTTAAAAACCGTTAAAACATAGCACCTTAATTACGTTTAAGTTTTAATTTCGTGAAAATCGGACCGAGACTGTTTGACAAAATGGCCGCCCCTTTATGCAAATAGTATAATCAACATGTAATACAAGAGGTAACAACTTTTTATCTGATTATGACGAAACTTAAAAAAAACATCTTTACATCCCAAAGATCGCGGTTCCTGACAATATTGACGCATGTCGGAATGTTACATCTTGGATTATGACCTCTGATTGTTCGAAAAATCGCTTTTTCAGATTGTTCTATTGCAAAATGGGGGCGTATCTTGCCTGCCAACCGCTTGTTCTAGAATCTGTACCCTTTACTTGCACCTTTAATAAAAACAGGTACTTTAGATTTCAGCCAATATTCCCCAATTCCCGCATAGCGTTGTCCCATGAGGTCTTTAGACAGGTCTGTACTGCGCAGTTTTGTCTCCACGGTGACATAAATAAACTTATTTATATCAACGAGAACAAAAGGTAGGTTTCGAGTTTTCAAAGTGCATGTCACACGTGTTAAAGAGCACTAAGCTATGTTTTTGTTATTAGAATACCAGAATCAAATGGACTAAGAATGTCAAAATACACCGATAGCACATGAATCGCACCATCAAGAAAACCTATAAACGGCTTCTTGCACCATAAAAATACATAAAAATATTACAAACATAGTTTTGTGAGGAATCAGACAAGAGGAAAGATCACCAAAATGGCGACTATATTGACAAAATTGAATTTCAAGATGTAAAAAAGGCCCGAGAACAAAATTATTTTCTTCACAACCGTGTTCAGCATAATAAATGGCGTAAGAAAACACCCAACGCAGAGAAAGAGAGAGAGAGAAATGGGGTTTAACGTCCACTCGACACAAACTAGGTCATTCCGGGACCAACATATGGTTTAATTTTATTTCAATAATTCGCATGCGCGTAGGGGTCTTTAGCAGTGGGAGGAAACCGTAGGACCCGGAGAAAACCCACGAGGTTGGACAGGCGACCTTACTCCTTGTCACGTACAACCGGGGATTCGAAACCACGCCAGTCGACCACCCAACGCAGAAATTTTAACTGATTTGCCCAAACCTAATAATAGTTTAAAAATAGATAATGAAAAATGAATGTACTGGACACTGTAGTCAAATTACTTTATTCTGAGAGAAGTTATGAGTGTTTTAAGTTTTTAGGGGGATCACGTGGCTCGCTAGCCTTGAGGTCGGGTGTTCGATCCCTGCATTGGCCGCGAAAGTTCATCCAGATTTTCCGGCGTGGTTCCCCCTTGTCAGTGATGCAGGACGGAGGGCCTGACAAGGACAGCTGTCTAGTCCTTCGGATGAGACGAAAAACCGAGGTCCCGTGTATACATTGGAATGCACGTAAAAAATCCCTTGGCAGTTGGAATTCGATATAAGAGTAGGCGATAGTGCCGCTGCCCGGGCAAAATTTCTCTCATAGCACACTGTGTGGCGTATGCCCGTCTTAGGAGCAGAACAGTAGGACGTTAAACCCCATTTCATTTCATTTCATTTCGTTTTAAGTTTTGAGAAAAAATAGCCGATTGTCAGATAACATAGCCATGCTAATAAGTCCCGATTTTCAGTCATTTTAAAGATTGGGACAAGGAGTAGGGTCGCTTGTCCAACCTCGTGGATTTTCTCCGGGTCCTCCGGTTTCCTCCCACTGCTAAAGACCCCTATGCGCAAGCGAATTATTGAAATAAAATTTAAAAAAATATGTTAGTCCCGAAATGGCCTTGTCTGTGTCGAGTGGACGTTAAACCCCATTTCTAAAAAAAAATAAAAAAATAATGATTGGCGTCCATTTATATGGCTCGGTGGGCTAATCCTTCCTATATCTCAGCCATCCAATGTCAATAAATCCCTGAAAAGTAATTCATATGACATTTGTAGCGAGAGAAAAGATCTATAGTAGGCAGACTTACCTCTTTAATATGATATTGAATATCTCCCCATACATGATCTTCTTGAAGGGTGGATATTTGTTTACGTCAATGTCACGGTGTAGGCTATATTTAGGTATTTTGGGTCAGGTTGTTCTATATGGCACCAGTCCTCTTTTATATTATTACATTCTTTTCATGCATCATCTTTCTGAAAGGAGATATTTATTTAGGTCAAAGTCATATCAAGGACACGGTGTATATTTATCTATTCTGATTAAAAGGATGTGTTATTATCTAGAACTGCATTAATATCCAACGACGCGTTTAAGGTCAAATCGTCCTTGGTCTTCAGTTTAGCTCTGATATTTCAGGGTAGGTGGCCCAGTGGCTTAGCGCGTGTGCTTTGGACCATAAGTTCTGTCATTAGTTCTAGTGGTGTGATTTCGACCCCAAGCTGACATGTGACAACTTCGTGGGTTTTCTCCGGATCCTTCGGTTTCCCTCCACTGCTAAAGACCCCTACGCGCAAACAAATTATTGAAATAAAACTAAACCATATGTTAGTCACGAGTGGTAAAGAAAATTTTCGGGCAAATATTCCCCTTCCTTCTTTGAAAACAAAATTCGATACCCCATTCAATTTACTTAAGAGGATAGCAAACACAAATTGACGGATTTGAATTTCTTTAAAATTATCTATTGAATATGAAATCAAAGAACATCCTCCAAGTAAAACACCTCACAATATGTCGTTGAAGGAGGGTGAAAGGTTACTTCCTTGTCAATAATGAAATTAGATCTTTGTTTATTGAACTAAATGTATAAGAATGCGGATTATAAAAAAATAACGGTTATGAATTACGTGTACTCACGCACTCGTACTATAGCTAGATGATATGAAATGACCCAGTATGAGTAGTGTGGACTTTACCACCCCCCTCCCCTCTCTCTCTCTCTCTCTCTCTCTCTCTTTCTCTGATTTTTCAAAGAGGATATTTTTTGCTCTGGACAAAATGTGCCCTTGGTGAATATGTGGCATCTATTTTGATTATATAAACATAAACATTTTCTTCGGGAAATCTGTCAAAGGAAGAGCGTCTTTAAATTCTTGAAAATATGAAACGGCAGTGAAATGAGTTTGGTTTAGCGTTCTACGCTTCTGTACCAACGGGTAAATGAAGACGAGCATACGCCATCCAGTGCACTATGAACTACTGGTATTTTGAATTCCGCTTGGTAAGGCTTCATTTATGCGAATGCCAACGTGTACATGGGGCGTAATTGTTCGTCTTTCTTCATTATCCTTGTTAGTGCAGAACAGGAAGACGTTACTCATTCTCGCCCCCGCCCTCTCTCTCTCTCTCTTCCTCTCTATCTCCCTCTCTTGTGGGTGGGGGTGGGTGTGGGTGTAGGGGGTGGATTGCCGAATGGTTAGCTCGTGCGCGTTGTATCATGAGGTCTGTCATTGAGTCAATTGACGCGGTTTCGTTTCCCCAGTTGTACGTGACAAGGAGTAGGATCGCCTGTCCAACCTCGTGGGTTTTCTCCCGTGTCCTCCGGTTTCCTCCTACTGATAAACCCCTAAGCGCAAGCGAATTATTGAAGTAAAATTGAACCATATGTTAGTCACGAAATGACCTAGTTTGTGTCGATTGGGCGTTAACACACAAACACACACACACCTATCCTACTGATAAAGACCCCTAAGCGCAAGCGAATTATTGAAGTAAAATTGAACGATATGTTAGTCACGAAATGACCTAGTTTGTGTCGAGTGGGCGTTAACACACAAACACACACACACACCTATCTCTCTCTCACAATTTTCAGCTAACACAGTCAATGCATCATCTAATCGTGGACTACCTTTGATATTGCGAGGATGGTTTAGACCTTACTCAAATTATCGCATGATGTGCTCCATTGAGTTCAGATAATACAAACGCCTTTGGAGACACTAAAGTATATTAGATAGTTTAAGAAGCTACAGCTATAAGCAAGCAAATAAATTCAAGCTAATAGTGAGTATTGTATTATCCTATCTAGTTTTTTATTTATATTTTGATTATCAATAGGCAGATTTAGCTCTGACATAATATATGTTTAAGTAACTATGCAGCATTTGCAATTTTCACTAAAATATAAATTTTCGGACGACTTAAACCACGCTAATATGTGCACAGATTAATTCGTGTTAAAATGTTTAATTAAGAAAGCAAAATCGAAATATCAACGCTAGATACACTGTAAAAAATAAATAAATAAAAAAGAAGCAAAAAAAAAAAAAAAAAAAAAATTCTGGCAGCAGATTTACCACAATTTTGCTTTGTTTTTGTAATTTGTATTCTGTTTTTACTTTTTTTTTTTGGGGGGGGGGGCAGACAATTATTTCTGTTAAGTGACCATATCATGTTTATGTTGATTAACAGGTAGAATTGCATGAACAAAATCGAGTATATCTGCTGCAAGAAGATATTCTGTTAAATATAAAACAAAATCATCTGTAAAAAATAATTTATTATCTGTAAACGTAATTTTTCAGTCACGAATTTACAAAAATATTAAAAATGAAGAGAAATTAAGAGCAAGAAATCTAACATGGCTTCAAATTTTGTGATTTCTAAAGGCTATAGGTTACTTCTTTCTATCGTACCTTCTTCTTCTTGCAATTTCTTTTTATCTTCAATACAAAGCTGGAACAAAATGATGAAGCACCTACAGAAACGTGAAATTAAAAGGTCTAACTTTCTTGCATTAAACATTAATTAGCTTATCAAGACCATAATCAACTCTCCATGCCATCGTTAGCCTGCGATATTTAGTGGATTTGAATACCTTTTATGACGGATGATTTAACGTAAAAATGGATAATCGAGACTTTGATTTTTATCGCACCGACAGCAATAATGACGTTGACACCATGGTTCAGAGTGAAGCAATTTGACTGAACTTTTCAACATATCCTGTTTTTATTATCTGTTCCTAATGTTCCTTTAAATATAATGAAACGATCAAAGTGATAAGCAGTAAATATTCGCTTGGACATCAATATAATTGCAAATTAAATTCTAAGACAAATTTTTAATTTAAAGAAAAATTACATAAACATGTTTGAAGTGTATTTGGATAAAAAGAATATTTCCTGGTTAGTGTCCAGACCAGTTTGTATTACTACTTTCGGTGTGAACACGCACGTATTATCGACGCCATGATGTGACGTCACACATAGAACACGACTAAAGGTCAGACATCTTATACAGTGCTAAAATAAGGCTTCACATTAGCGTTGTGAAACAGTTCGGGATGAGATATAATTGAAAGAATTTAGAAAACCCATTAAAATTAATAATAGTGGTCTGAAACCGTAAAGCAGCACTACTCTGTTTTAAGGTAAACAATGAAAAAAGATAACATCCCGACACAAACTTATTTCAAATCTAGTTTAATAATATTTTAACATTTGGAGCTATTCATAAATCATGCAGTTGTATATCGATGGGTATTGAACTCTATTTTATACATATTTAGATAGTAACACTGTGGTTTTAATTTTCTATGGTTACTATTGTCTGCGGAATTATAAAAATGATATGTCCTGTTTGGCGTGATATGTTCGCAACATTTACATCGAAGATCGGGGCATTTAGATACATAAAACCGGTCCTTGTGATATATATAAAGTAGTACAGCTTTACGGTTGTGCTAATATTTTTGGATATATATTGATTTCTAATTGTGATGGAACTAATAATAGCTGTTAATAATATTTCAGGTAACCGAGTATGAAGAAGTATCCGTTACTTATCATCCTCGTTGTACTGGTAAATGTTGAGGACACTAAATCCCAGCAAGATTTAACCATACAGGACAAATCAAAGGGTGAACCTGTCGTTCAGGCTGTGGTTGATGCCATTAGAAGCCATTGTATATTTGCCTCGGATCGCTTGTTTTTAAGACGTTTAGCTCTGGTTCAATCTAACGATGGGGAAGATTCTAAAACTTATAGAGATGGTTATCATGGTGGAATCTGGCAGGTAAGTTACCTCTATATTAATTAAATGGGCATTTGGGAAATTATTTATATAGCTGTATATTAATCACATGGGCACCTGGCAGGTAACTTACCTGTATATTAATTAAATGGGAGGTAATTTAGTTGTATATTAATTAAATGGGCATCTGGCAGGTAATTTAGCTGTATATTAATTAAATGGGCATATGGGTGGTAATTTAGCTGTATATTAATTATATGGGTATATGGGAGGTTATTTAGCTGTCTATAAATGGGCATCTGTTAGGTTATTGGTGTTTCACACAATAACAGTGTTTTGTTATCATGGTGGAGTCTAACAGGTAATTTAGGTGTATATTTTTAAAACTGATTTTAGATTGATGAGGACAAGTACAACCAAACACAGACCTGTCCTGGTATTCTGGAAAATGTTTGTGAAATTATTGAAACCAGGCTGGAAATCAACTGGCAGACGACCACGTGGAGAGATTTACGTAAACCTTTGTATTCCGGCCTGGCTGCTTCACTGTACGTCATGTATAAGTCTAACATATCATTGAACACCACAGACGGAATATCAGGAAATCGGATGCAACAGTCGCTGATCTGGAAGACTTTGTTTGCTCCGGGAGTAGATGCGTCGACCTTTATAAATATTACTGAAGCAAATAATGGTAAGTTTTGAATTATCCCGCAAATGAAATAAAATGGGGTTTAACGTGTTACTTTTCTACTCTGCACAAACCGGGTTAATGAAGATGGGCATACGTTACGCAGTGTTCTGGGGGAGGGTATTTTATCTGGATAGCTGCCTGTATACGAGACCGCGATATGTTCCCTCGACTATATGCTGTTCCTTGCTAGTCCAGTAGTGCTGGCAAACCATGCTGGAAAATACCAAGGAATCTTCTGGACTATTACAGGGTCTTCTGGATTACTGAGTATGAATCTGCGAATTATTATTCAGTAGTGTAGTTCATGCCAGAACCTACTAGGAAGGATTGTCTGATTTAAAGATGATTTAACAACCAATAGTGTTTTTTGAATCAGTCATTCTTTAAACGTGAGCCCTACAATGATATACAACTGTTCTGGTTGGTGATTTCTTTATAAACACCTAAAAAAAAGAACGGAAAGCCAGTTTAAAGTGCAAAACAAAAACTAAATAGATTAAGGCAATACAGTATATACAGGTCAAACAATGTTTTATATTTTATTTTCAAACTTTCGTTATCTTCATATTTTGCTTTTTAAAGTGTGTAACATTAGAATATATTTTATATGGAAGTTTATTTTACCCTGCAGATGTTTGCAAGAAAGCGATAGATTTAGCGTTTATTATCGATGGCTCCGGCAGCATTGGAGCTACAAACTTCAACATAATTAGGCAATTTATGATAGAAGTCACAAACCGTTTGGATATCAGCCCGAGAGAAACCCAAGTAGCTGCCGTTCAGTTCAGTTCTAGTGCCAGGAAAGAGTTCTATTTAAATGACCATTCTACAGAGGGGAGCTTAAACCAGGCTATTAATGGAATAGCTTACATAGGTAGTGGTACCAATACAGCTACCGGACTAAATCTTGCTGCAAATCAGGTATTTGTTCCCGAGAAAGGAATGAGAAATCATTCTGCAAAGGTAGCGTTGGTAGTAACGGATGGACGGTCTAGTAGTCTGATAGCCACAGAAGCAGCTTCTCTAATATTAAAATCTAAAGGAGTAACAGTGTTCGCTATTGGTGTTGGAAGTGGAATAAATGAAAATGAATTAAAGGCCATCTCATCCGATCCTGATTGCACCCATGTTTTCATTTTGAAAGATTTTTCAGAAGTTGAGACCATCATTAACGCAATACAGAAACGTGCATGTCAAGGTAAGTTCTTGATTATTGATACAGACAAACACCAAAATGATAGGCGAATGGTCTAACGCGTGCGCTTTAGATTATATGGGCTGTCAATGAGTCAAGTGCCGTGACTTCGATTCCTATCGTGTAGGTGACAAGGAGTGGGGTCGCGTGTCCAACTTGGTTGGGTTTTATCCGGGTCCTTCGGTATCCTCCAACCGCCAAAAATCCATTCGCGAGAGCGATTTATTTAAATAAAATTGAACCTAGTTTAGATTTCAGTGCAAGGGATCATGTATAAAGCACAAAGGCACATGAAACAAGAGCCATGTCATTATTGTACAATAACACAAAATATATGTTCGGGACGAACAGAAAGCGCTAGCTGTTAAATTAGTATTTAGGAATCTTGCTTTAATTTAGTTTATATATATATATCAACTGCTAGTTGTATTTACTAATTTTATGAAATATAGGAACATAAAACTCCCAGTTAATATAAATATAAACTAAATTTAAGAAAGCCATCAACCACATAGTAATATATCATGACTATACTGTTTAATATTTATGCAATTTTATAGGTCTACTAGTACTTGAACGCGACCCTGTTGATGACTCTGGAGAAATAGAAAAAGATATACCTTTTACAGGGAATGAAACAACAGTAAACCTCGTCATTCCAGCACCACCCACAAATTCTTCAGCTAATTCCACTAATACTACAACCCTTGTTGTAAGTTACAGTCAGTGTATTTTCTATCTGTCTTGGCTTAAAATATAAAGGAATAACATGGGGTTTAACTCATCGTCAACACAATATCTTTGTCATTTTTAGTCTTTTTATGGCCAAATTTGAAATGCGAGGGGAGAATTTCCCGGACTACCACGTTTCTGCATATTCGCCTTAAAATTCCCAATGCCACAGAATCTTTTACGTACTCTAACAATTTGCCTTAGTTAAAGGTACAATGACGTGCAAAGGGATAGAATGAGGTTTAAAGTCTTGTCCCCGTTGATTAATTTGACACTAACATAATATGGTAATGTTTATCATTTATGCAATGCCGGAGGAGGGGTTAGGGCGGAGGATGTTTCAACTCACTATTCTTTAAGTTTCAACTGCCACGAGATATTTTACGTGCAGTACCAATTTCTACAAGATCTTCCGATTTGTCGTCCCATAGTCCGAACTAAGCACACTTTATATCTCAACCTGGCAGGCGCCACACATGACTAGTAAGAATCGGATGATGACGAAAATACACCAATATTAGACATCAAAAGAAACTTTTTTTTTTCAACGAATTTTTATGCGTTTTCACCAGGTAGTAGTTCTTAATGCACAAGTATTGTCCTAATTTTCAGCTTATATTTAAAATCTACCTCGTTATTCGATTTTCAGTAATCTTTACATTTTGCTTGATAAAGACGAGAGTATCCTCGTTGAAACGTCGCTTAATATCAAACTCAGTAATTGTATATCCGTATAATTGTATCTTGTGTTAATATGTTCAATTACTAAATGCCAATCAAAGGAGATATTTTTTAATAGGTGTATAGTTGTGTTGCGTAAAAACTATTAAAACGGCAGTTATTATTATTATTATTATTATTATTACAGACAGACGTATCATGTAGTGTGGTGTATATCTATGCGTCTTATGACTCAACTCATCCAAGCGCTGCTCTCTATTCTTATAGTGATGTAGCTCTAGCGGGATCACCATCAGTGATGACGATAAACGATGAAAATGGTCGACCTCTATACATCACCTACGAGGGTGAAAAATACAACCCGACTGCCACCAAGACGGCTGTAGGCTGTGATAATCCTACTATAAATACAAAGATTATACAGGGTAAAAAGGCTGGTAAGTACAAGTATCACAATATTAAAGCAAAGGGAGGTAAATACTAGTATTACACTATTAAAACAAAGGGAGGTAAGTATCAGTATCACAATATTAAAACAAACGATAAACGTTTGTTTGTTAAAGATGCATTGTGTAAGAGTTAAATCTGCCTATTTCAAGTCTTTTGTTGGCTTCACATGTTATATATACTATTAATTATACATGTTATATATACTATTAATTATACATGTTATATATACTATTAATTAGACATGTTATATATACTATTAATTAGACATGTATTCACATGACAAGCCTATAATCAACCCACTAGACCATCGGATGCTGGAGATAATTGAAACATGATCGCCTTTTAATGATTTAATTAAAAAATGGATCTTGATCAGCAAGTACCGTTAGTACGATAATAAGCAATCTATGCCAACACATCTTGTCAGAACTTCAAAGAGTGATAACTTCGTTCAGAATAAAGTAATTTGAATGACATTTTCAATAATTTCATTTTGCATTCTATATTTCCGAACGTCCAGCTCTTTAACTAAATCTTACAAAATGCATCTTTAACGGCGTGCTTTGTGTGAGATATCGGGAGGCCCTGTCGGGTGCCCCCCCCCCCCGCCAAAAAAAAAACGAGTACACTATTCAAATTGGATTAATACCTAAATCTTTAGCATTTCACATGTCGTACAATATACGGATGTTTGACATCTCTACTGCATCGCTTAAATAGTGTTAACATAGTTAACATTTTTTTAAAAATAAGTTTCCAATGTTGTTTTGTCCGTACTGAGAAATCACATTACATTTCACCCCAGAAATCGAATTTGCTAATTCTTTTAAGCACAGTTCTGTCCATTTGGCTTGATTTGTATCAGCTGCGTGACAAAGGCGATCACATGCATCGTCGTGCTATATGTGTACAACGCAGTAATTCTTTATTACTCTCAATTGCTAAATGTCACCTATTGCTATATGAAAGGTGTACTTTTTTTCTTGCAGGTGCTGATATAACGTGTCTAGAAAATGGCGTAGAAAGGGAATGTACTCCTCTTGATTTTCAATTAAGTCAATTTTATAAATACACGCAAAAGAGTACGTAACTATATGCTATTTTTAGTTTTTATGCGTTGATTGGGTGGGGTGGGTGTGTCTAAAGACTTGGCACACAAAAACGTACTGCTTGGAGTTAGGTTGTTCTAGAATACACACACGGTATCATAGTTTATTAATTATTTGGGTACTTACACTACCCAACCATAACCCTAACCCATGTGGATCTATATACAGGTACAGGAAATTATGCAATTTCGTCCCACAGTGAGTAATTACGAATTGTATTCTGTTCCCAGAGCCGAGGCACATTCATGCTTATGGCCATTTGAGAGTTACCTTTTGGGATTAAAATCGGTGTTGATACGCTCCATTTAAACATACATTATGCAAGAGCTAAATCTGCCAATTGCATGTCTTTAATTAGACTTCAGATGTTATAGAAATTGTTAAGTAGACCTTTATTTACATGACAAGTTCAAAATCAACTCTGTAGACCCTCGGATGGCTTGGATACAACTTGGAAATAAACAGTCGTTCATTTAAAATTAAATCAAGAAATGGTCGACCAAACTAACGTTTACCGTTAGTCACTGACGTCACTACCGGAAATTGGTGATGAAAAGCCTACCAAGCTAGGGTACTATAGCCATTGAGAGTGTTACTTGATATTCGAGAATATGTGGGTCGAGTTATCATCTGTCCATCAAACGATCGGCAATTCTCGTAGACGGTGCGGACACAATTGATGCATATTTCTAGTCCAAATTTCCAAGAGTGACAACTCCGTTCAGAATAAAGTAATTTGACTGCAATCTATTTTTGAATTATTATAGTAAGAATGGCCAACTCGTTATTACAGTCTTAACAAATGTATCTTTAATTTGTTCTACTAGGTGAAGTAGTGAATGTTGCGAATCCTTGTTACAGAGGAAATGATGTTTCTGATCCGACCAAAGCTTTCCACCAGAATCCTCTCGACTCTACCAAATTGATCAAATGTGATGTTGAGGGTAATATGTATGTCATACAATGTCCAAGTGGAGAAGAATACCATCAAGACAGGTTCACGTGTGGTGACAATAATATATTACCTATAGATCTTGGTGTACCTTTGGTATCGGGAAACACCCTCATCCAAGAATCAAGTGCGCCAGTTCCTAAGTTGTTGGAGGCAGTCAATAGCATATATAATCTAGCATTAACTATCCAAACCGAATTACAGAACAAGGGTAAGTTGATGTTTGATGATGCAAAATATCGATTGTCACATGTTCTCCACAATATATGCGAATTATCGCCCATAACAGGAAATGAAATGGAATGGGAACCTACTGTTCTGCACCGACTGGGATAATGAAGTCGGGCATACGCCCTACGGTGTGCTATGAGGGAAAATTTGTCCGGACAGCGGCACTACGGCCTACTCTTATTTCGAATTCCAACTGTCAATGGCAAGTGGACAAGACGCTGGCACCTTTTGGTCAACACCGGGATCGAACCTAGGACCTCCTGGTTTGTGAACCAACGTGTCACTCACTGAGCCTCCATAACAGGAAGGGGGGGGGGGGTGGTAGATGGCCAAATGGTTAGCGTGAACCATGTGTTGGTCCCGAAATTACCTTGTATTTGTCGAGTGAATGTTACCCCCCCCCTCTCTCTCTCTCTCTCTCTCTCTCTCTCTCTCTCTCCATAACAGGAACACTCTTATGTTACGTTGTTGGATGACATTATGTATGAATATTAATTATAACTATTATTAATGAGTAGCATCCCTTTCTTCATTCGATCGTCGAGCTAATGTCCACCTCATTCGATGGTGATATGTTTCCTGGGAATCTTTACAGAATAGCCTAGTAGCCGTGTTTGATAGACTTATCCAATTTGAAAAACATGCATATTTTGTTGCTCGTTTACATAAATGGGGGATAACTCTGTTACAGCCTCAAAGATCATGAATGTTCACCAAAACCTTGTAGAAAATGTAAATTAAACGGACACAGCTCACCAAATATTTCTACGCCAAATAGGGCCAAAGTTATTTTTAGTCTCTCTGTCTGCCTTTCCCTTTTTCCCCCTTTTGCATGGCGATTTTTATTGACTTTTTGGTGTAGAAAAGGGTTTGAAAATACATTTTCTGCCAGGTTTGGTGAATATTCATGATTTTGGGGCGGAAGGATACAAGAGTTGTGAGGTTGGTTACGTTGAAATGTAGGGCCGGAAATTGCATGTTTACTTTTCTCTACTTCCAACTTGTGTATCTCAAGTTTTTCATGGTGAACCTCATACATGATTTTGGGCAAGAGTTTGCCACATGTTGCTCCATCTGTGGCAGAAAGCGTTCTACCCATCGAAAATTTGGGAAAAAGTTAGATTAGAGCCGGTCTAAGAGACGAGAATTAACATTAAAGTCAATGGGGAAATAATTAGTGATCTGTGGCCAAACATGACCAATGCAAAGGGAGGACGAGGTGGAAAGGTGAAATGACTATAAATAGTAATGTTATAAATTTACTCGTGTATTTGTTGGACCTGGACTAGTCTTGAATTTCGTACTAGTGATTTTCTAAGACCTGGACTAGTCTTGTATTTAGTATTTTGTTTATTCACTATCTGGACTTGTCTTGTATTCCGTACTTGTGTTTTTCAGGATCAGGACCTGAGCTGACTTGTAAAAAGGACAACAAACCACAGAACTGTACTTTATTTGACGTCCAGACCAGTCAGTACAACACGTTCTTGTTAAAAGGTATTATCATTTAACCAAATTCCGGTTGCAAAATATCTAAGAATAATATAAACCATGTAATATTATTTTATGTTTATTTGCCATGCGTATATGCTTATTAAGACACGATTGAAATGGAGTTTGGCATCCTAGGTTTTAAGTACCAACCGGGTTGATGCAGGTTGGCATGAAACATGCAGTAAAGCCAATCGAATTCCAACTGCTAATTACTAGACGAGTTTATTAAAAAAAAACCTTGACCGTAGGAATTCTAAATATGAGTATCCCGTCGCGCCGCTGCAAAGGGGGAGCCACGGTGGGTAAGTGGGTAAGACGCTGACTCGTTAGCCAGGAGGTCGCGTGTTCGACCCCTGCATTGCCCGAGAAAGTTAATCGTGATTTTCCGACGTGGTTTCCCCTTGTCAGTGGCACAGGGAGGAGGGCCTGCCTAGTCGTTCGGATGGTAAAAAAAGCCGAGGTCTCGGCGTGCACGTAAAGATCCCTTGACAGTAGGAATTCGATATAAGAGTGAGCCATAGTGTCGCTTCTGGGCAAAATGTATGGCGTATGCTTTCCGGGCAAAATGTCCCTCATAGCCCACTGTATGGCGTATGCCCGTCTTCATTAGCCCCGTCGTAGCAGTCGGACATTAAACCCCATTTCATTTCATTTCCGCCGCCAAGGCACAATTATCTTCATAGCACACTGCATGGCGTATGGCCAACGTCCTTAATCTGGTTAGGGCAGTAGAGTAGGACGTCAAACCCTATTCTTTTTTGTTTGTTGTTTTATCCATATATTCATATATGTAAATTGTTTAAAACAGCAGTTCGCATGTTTACATTAATGTCAGAGTGATACCTTAATATTTAAATTATCTCTTCAGATTCGTGGTTGGGTGTTCCAAATCCATGTGAACCGAATGCTAATCTGACAGTTAACAGCAATCGTCTACACATAAACGACCTTGATCCCAAGAAGTTTATAATTTGTGTTGAACCCAATACAATGTATGTTACCCAATGTCCTGGTAACCGGACATACGTCCCTGACTCGTTCATCTGTAGAGAATAAGCTTTGAATAATAATGGTTATGCTTAGTTACATTAGCTACATTTTGTTATTAATATTTTAAAATGTATTTCTGCCCTTGGTTTCGTTAAGTTACATGAGCTACATTTTGTTATTAATATTTTCAAGTTTATTGCTACCCTAGGTTAATTATTTTTAGTATTTTTTATTTTTAGTATTTTAAAGCTTATTTCTACCCTTGGTTAAATATAGTTACATAAGCTACAAATTTATTTTTAATATTTTAAAGTGTATTCCTACCCTTGGTTAAATAGTAACATGAGCTACATTTTGTAGTTAATATTTTAAAGTGTATTTCTGCCCTTGGTTTCGTTTAGTTACATGAGCTACATTTTGTAATATTTTAAAATTTATTCCATCCCATGGTTAATTATAGTTACATGAGCTACATTTTATTTTTCATATTTTAAAGTTTTTTCCTACCCTTGGTTAAATATAGTTACATAAGCTACAAATTTATATTTAATATTTTAAAGTGTATTTGGTTAAATATGGTTACACGAGCTACAATTTATTATTAATATTTTAAAGTTTATTGCTACCCTTGGTTTCGTTTAGTTACATGAGCTTCATTTTGTTATTAATTTTTATTGCCAAATTTATTGCTACCCTTGGTTACCTATAGTTACACGAGCTTCAATTTATTATTAATATTTTAAAGTGTATTCCTACCCTAAGTTAATTATAGTTACATAAGCTGCATTTTCTTTTTAGTATTTTAAAGTGTATTCCTACCCTTGGTTAAATATAGTTACATAACCTACAAATTTATTTTTACTATTTTAAAGTGTATTCCTACCTTTGGTTAAATATAGTAACATGAGCTACATTTCGTTATTAATATTTTAAAGTTTATTGCTACCCCTGTTAAATATAGTTACATAAGCTATATTTTGTTATTAATATTTTAAGGTGTATTCTGGCCCTTGGTTACCTATAGTTACACGAGCTACATTTTGATATTAATATTGTAAAGTGTATTCCTGCACTTGATCACCTATAGTTAAATGAGCTACGTTTTGTTATGAATATTTAAGGTGTATTCCTGCACTTGATTACCTATAGTTATACGAGCTGCATTTTGTTATTCATATTTTAAAGTTTATTATTACAGTTAATTACACGATCTATGTTTTGTTATTAATATTGCTACCCTTAGTTACATATAGTTACACGAGCTACGTTTTTTTTAAAATTCTAAAGTGTATTCCTGCTCTTGGGTGCCTATAATTACATGAGCTATTTTTGTTATTAATATTGTAAAGTGTATTGCTACTCTTGCTTACATATGGCTACATGGGCACAGTTTTGTTATTTTTAAATTACATGATATAGGTGCTTTAATTATAACCCGCATCATTGATATTTTGAAGTGACATGATATAGGAGCTTTAAGTATAACCCACATCATTTATATTTTGAAGTGACATGATATAGGGGCTTTTATTATATTTGTGATTACAGTTGTTAGTAATTCATATCTATGCAATTAATTACATTAAAATCTTAATAAAGATATTACATATGGAGAGAAAGGGAGTACGTAACGTTTACTCAGCACAAACTAGACCATTTTGCGACTAACATTTGGTATAATTTGGTACAATTCAATAATTCGCTTGCATAGGGTTCTTTTTAGCAGTTAGAGGAAACCGGAGAAAACCAACGAGGTTAGTCAGGTGACCCTACTCCTTATCACGTACAAGTGTGGGATCGAAAACAATGACAGACCTTCTGATCTAAAGCGCTCAGTGAGTAACCAGAAGATCCCAGGTTCGAGACAGTTCCTCGGCGTAGTTTCCCCATGTCAGTGGTAAAGGGCGGTGGGCGTGGCAGGGTACAGCATCTAGTCGTTCGATTGGACAAAAGAGATAGAGAGAAATGGGGTTTAACGTCCACTTTTTACAAACTAGGACATTTCGGGACTAAGATATGGATACATTTTATTCCATTAATTAACTTGCGTGTTAGGCTCTTTAGCAGTGGGAGGAACAAGAGGACCCGGAGCAAACCCACGAGGTTGGACAGGCGAGCCCTTGTCACTTTCACGTCCGGAATCGACTCAATGACAGGTCTTATGATGCAACGGCAGGCGTTAACCGTTCGGTCACCCCCCTCCTCCCGCGATTGGGCGAATTAAACATCATTGTCGAGCACGTAAATGAAGTTATTGTATCCTGGCATCCACGGTGGCTAATTGAGAAAGGCGCTTGCTCGCTAAACTGGAGGTCGCGGGTTCGATCCCAGTGTTGGCCGAGTAAGTTCATCGGGATTTTCCGGCGTGGTTTCTCCTTGTCAGTGGTGCAGGACAGCTGTCTATTCGTTCGTAAACCGAGGTCCCATGTACGCATTGGCGTGCATTTGAAAAAGTCATTTGGAATTCGATATAATAAGAGTAGTCTGTCCGGGCAAAATTCCTCCCATAGTACACAGTATGGCCCGTCTTCATTAGCCCAGTCGGAGTAGAACAGTAGGACGTAAAGTCCTATTTCATTTCATCTCACTTGGAGCGATCCATTACAATTAAAAGGTTATTGTGTCCCAAAGTCTCAGTTAACGTCCACTCGACACAAACTAGGGACTAACGTATGGTTGCATTTTATTTCAATAATTCGCTTGCACGTAGGGGTCTTTAGCAGTGGGAGGAAACCGGAGGACCTGGAGAAAACCCACGATGTTGGACGATCCTTTAATGGGACGAAAAGCAAAGGCCACGTGTATACCATTGGGTGCACGATAAAGACCCCTTGACATGTAAATCTATATATGACTAAACCCTAAAATATCCCTACCGACACTACACGGTGTATGTTCGTCTTTATCAGCCAAGACATTGCCGGAAAATAAGACGCTAAACCCCAGAGAGAGAGAGAGAGAGAGAGAGAGATAAAGAGAGAGAGAGAGATAAAGAGAGAGAGATGGGGGGATTCGGGACTAACGTATTGCTCAATGTTATTTCAATAATCTGCTTGCACGTAGAGGTCTTTAGCATTGGGAAAAACCGGAGAACCCGGAGGAAACCCACGATGTTGGACAAGCGACCCTTCTCTTTGTCATGTTCAAGTGGGGGAACCAATCTAATCGAGTCAATGACAGATCTTAAGATCTAAAGTGCATGCGTTAAACCATATCGCCTGGATTGATGTTTTAGATTATGTTATGAGTTGGGTTAGTCATTACAATAACATGGTACATGTAATATTATTCCAATCAATGGCTGCTTTCACTTACAAAGTGTCTTTAGACTAACATGGTACTTTGTAATTTTTTAGTCAGTGGTACAAATGTTTATGGTGATTTTTGAAATATGAACCCAGTTTAACTGAACAATTAATTAGTGTGGTTTCCCCTTGTCAGTAGTGTAGGACGGGAACTTTCCAAAAACTGTGACTAGGCGTTCGGATGGTGCAACCCCCTCCCCCCCCCCCCAAAAAAAAAAACAACCGAGGACCCGTGTTCAGTTCACATTGGCGTGCACGCAAAATACCCCTTGATAGTTGGAATTCGAAATAAAAGTAGGCCATACCACAGTGTATGACGTTAGCTTGTCTTCATTATCCTGGCCGGTGTAGAAAAGAAGGACGCTATATAAAAACCCCAATAATTTCATTTCATATCGTAGAGTGTAGACCTGCAGTTATCAGTGTAACGGTAGCTAGAAATATCGACCACAGTTAACGGTGTATAACGGTTAATATAGCACGCGACGACACTACAGGTAAACTTCATCAGTACACCAGATGAATTGGCAAAATATCAAATTCAGACAGGATAAATCTTTCTCAACACAAATTATATGAAACGGATTTTGCTTAAAATCGAAGCTCGCTTGTATGAAAAATACAATTTGGAAATTGTCAATATCCGGTAAACTCAATTTAAAAACGTTGAGAGTAATGTTCTAGTTAAAATCTGCCCAACGTTTAATTATTAACATTGTGTTCTTCATGTCGGGTTATGTTAAAACGAAACCAGTGAAAAGTATACTTGATAATTTCACGGAATATAAGCATTCGCGTTCCTTCCTTCAAAACGGGAGGTACGAAGTCACTGAATTATCCTGCCATCTTAACTATCTGATCGATTCCTAGAATTGTCTAATTATAAAAAAAAATAATTGTTGGTTAACTCATAAGTAGCATCGCTTTCAGTGACGGTCCTTGACTTCCTTTTATATTTAGTCCGGGGAGGGGGGTGCACATAACTATATGTGTGGTTTAATGGTCGAGAGCGAGACGTTAAGTAATATATTGATACTGCACGAGACGTTAGACGAGTGTTGTTTCAATATATACTATTCAAAAAAAGTAGGGGATATTTGATTTTTAAGTGTTTTTAAAGTCACCTAATGAAACTGACGAAGAAACAAATGACAAAATGAAATGAAGTTCACATTCATCGATTTATTCCAAATGATCGTTAGACTAAGTAAGGCACAGACTGACCATTATAAGGGTAAAATGATACCCGGGGTCAAACAGCAAAGTTACCACAGCATCACAACCAAGTCAGTAACGGGTAAATCCTCCTCTGTTTGCCAAACAAGCATTCATCCTAATGAGACGTCTAAGGTCATTTTGGTCCAGATTGTCCCATTCCTGTTGCAACGCAGCAGCAAGTTCTTGGACATTGGCAGGACGTTGTTGACGTTGACGTAACCTCTGTCCAAGCATGTTCCAGACATGCTCGATGGGGGAGAGGTCGGGACTCAGTGCTGGCCAAGGTAATGTGGTGATGTTCTGTTGTTGGAGGTAACCTGTAACGATCCTGGCCCTGTGACATCTTGCGTTGCCATCCTGGAAGATGAAACGGCGGCCATGACGTCGTGCGAACGGCACAACATGGACTGCCAAGATGTTGTCCCGGTAGTACTGGCCTGTAACACGCCCTGCAACAACATGTAAAGCCGTTCTTCCAGCAACAGTGATGCCTCCCCACACCATAACAGAACCACCCCCAAATCGATCATGTCTGATGACGTTAACGTCTTGGAAGCGCTCGTTTCGACGACGCCACACCCTCCTACGTCTGTCCAAAAAATCAACAGTGAACCTTGACTCATCTGAAAACATCACAGTGCTCCAGCGTCGATTATCCCAGTGTTGACGATCCCTACACCAACGACGTCTTGCCTGAATGTGATGATCTCTCAAACAAGGGATCACGCGAGGACTTTGGGCGCGAAGGTGACCCCTATGCAGTCGATTCCGAATCGTCTGGCCACTCACTCTCACACCAGTGTCTGTTTGAAGACGAGCGCTGATCTGATTTGCTGTGATGACACGATTTCTCAAGGCCAATGTACGGATAAATCGATCCTGGGCTTGAGTTGTCGCCCTTGGTCGACCTGAGCGTGGTCTGTCCTGTACAGATTGTGTATCACGGTATCTGGACCATAGCCTGCTTATGACAGACTGAGAAACATTCATCGTCCGCGCCACAACCGCCTGTGTTGTGCCGATCTGTAGCATGCCAAGAGCACGTAACCTTTCATTTTGGGTAAGCCGACGCATATCAAAATTTGTTTTCTCGTCACTAAAACAATTAAACTGATGTTTCCACCCTGGAATTCAATGCCACAATGACTGTAACATTCAAAGTCAGAGTCGTGCAAATCTTGGGTTGGACCCCCATCATGATCCCAAGCATCACATGCATTCCATGCGGTAGCTATTGGTGCGTTTGGGCGTCACATGTAACTGGAAATGTTTCTTCTGTTAGGTTCTATAGTGACTTTTTTCGTAGTCATTTGCATATTTTAGTATTATGCCCCCAAAATCAAATATCCCCTACTTTTTTTGAATAGTATATTACGGACTGTCTTTCGCTCGAGACCATTAAACAACTTAAAATACAGACACTATCCCGCACGTAATTTTTCAATGAAATACGTCACGCGAGTCCAATATTTCATCTAGTACGATTCGCAAGTTGAAAATAATGGTACGCCAACATCAAAGGATGACGTCACATCTGTATTTTAAATCTACTGAAAGCCATGTCCATATTTCATAGAAAACAATGCCTAGTCGTTCGGGTGGGAAAAATGCGTTGAACATTGCAGAAAAGAAGGTGGAAACACCGCTGTTAGGGCTAAATTCCCCATCCGCTTATTGTTCACGCAACCAGTATAGAATGTTTTGACCTGTTTTTTTTCTAAACAATATTTATTCACAGAAACTGGATTGGAGAACGGGCAGAAGCCTATAGGCCCCCTCTCCACAGCAACTGATTTCTTTTCTAAGTTCAATAGTTTGTGGAACTGTAGTGGTGATAAACACCACAGACCAAAACACTCTTTCAAGTTGAATTTCATTTCTGAGTCTAATATCTTGTGGAACTCTTGTGGTAAAAAACACCACAGACCAAAACATTATATCAAAATTATTTTAAGTTGAAATTCTTGTGTAATGTATTTCGGATCTCTTGTGGTGAAAAATTCAACACAAAAGACCCCAAACTGAGGTTTGTCTGAAAATAACCAAAGAATTTTGTATAAAATAGATTGCATTATTTCAAAAAACATACA